TTTTAATACAGTTGCTCAAAACGTGGTATTTTTCGTACTACAAATCGTGCCGAAAGTTGGAATTTTCGCACTAGTGCTTTTTACTTTTCCATTTTTTTTAAATTTACTGTTGTTTCAAATCTTAAGCACAGAACTAAAGAAGTTGTATATTTATGTGCTTTGTGACGTAAGTCATTCGTCATTAAAACTTATCTTTATTTACAAATACTATATAATGAACGTATCGAGTGGAGGTCCACAGTCTCTGCCTACCCCTGAATGGGTGACAGGCGAGATTTTTATGTATATATTTGTTCTATGTATTACAGATAAATTGTATCTCACTACCGTGCACGGGTTCCTAAAGAAGTTTAAACAAAAGTACCAGGACTTCATAATAAGAAAAGTGGTTACAGACCGATATTACAGAAAATAAACAAAAACAGCACGTTAGAACTAGATTTCCATACACTTTTAAATAATGGTTGCAGTGGTTGTATTTCATTATTTTAATTTACTAGCAGAAAATGAGTTTTTTTTAAATACTGTTATTTTACTTTCAATGTAGTTTTTTCGCAAATGTATTAAAAAACGTCGTTTGATACACGTGCGGATTTGTCATTTTCACTTGACTCGAGTCTTGACCCTCGCCTCTGGCTCGGGCCAAGAAGCCTCGAGACTCGTGAATAATGACTAACTTTCCGCACTTGTATCAAAAATAACTATACACTCATTTTATTTTATTCACTGTGTGTAAGTTTAATTAGTCCAGCGACATAATTATTTTAAATATTACACAATTGCAACTAAACTTTCACGTATAATTTATTTGAGTTTACATCAAAATATCAAACCAGAGTTCTGTGCTAAAAGTAAATGTAAAATGGTCTCTGCGACACAAGCCTGTGCTTAGTGCAGAAGCCGCAAATAAAATGCGAACTAACAAATAAACTTTATGATTCTAGAACTTCAATGATAATTTCTAAATTATACTTTTGTACCTAACTACTGCTTAAGCTGTCCTGAATCTAGAGGACCGGTCTGGGTATAATATTAATATTTATTCTGCAATTCATTGTGTCATGCTCACTATTTATAAACTAGATATAGCAACCTTGTAAATGAACGATGTGAAACTTAGTTCGTTTTAAATACGGCGCTCTGTAGCATAACATCAGAGACATTGTAGCATTACATGAGCGACATTGTAGCATAACATCGGCGACAATGTAAATTCTCCGCCACATTGCTAAGCTACAGACTTTTTATATCAGATCACTATCTACGATGTGGTATTAACCTTTATGTGTGATATATTAATGTGTTGAGACAAATAAACGATTATTATTAGTATATAAAAAAACATCGCGAGAGAATAAAATCTAAATATCTTTGGCTATGTGATTAATCAAAATTTTACAAAAAATATTCTTGTCGTACGGTACGATTAGCTCATGATGATTGGACCTGCTTGCCTACGCAAGCATAAGTTGCAGCATAATTATAATTTGGCAATACGTGATAGGGTAACACCATACTCATTAACGCCGAATTGGTTTCAGTTGGTCCGAAAAAACTATATTCATGCAATAACAGCGAAAAAGTTGATGTGCGTTTCACCTCATCGTCCATGAGCGTCTTTTTTCCTCTTATTACATGGACGATTTCGGCTTGAACCTCCCTGTAGACTCTTTAATCTTCGTATTTGGATTTCGAAAGCGGCTGATATTCGTATGTCAAAACCATTTTGTGTTGTGTACATAGACACACGCATGTTCACAATCTCTCGAGGATACGCGTTTGTCTAAAAAATACGTACACACTAGCTTGAATAGCCCTGAATTGTAGTTCTCGGGTAATGCAGATAGTAGTGTACATATTTCCTTTGTAGTACGCATTAGGAAGAATAAAGCGTTTAGTGCGGATGTGTGGTATATTAATGATATGACGGGAGGTCCAAAATTCCGCGGAATGGGAGGCAGGAAATAAATTGTTTGATAGGATACTAATCAGGTAAATTTTAAGTTTCAACTGGAACTGTATGGTGAAGAAAGAACCTACTTCAGTTTTGGAACAAATTGTTACTGGGGATGA